TACACGTACCATCACGTGCTGTCAGGTGACCAGCAATATATGTTTTCTTTACCCAACAGATGTCGCAACATTACCGAAAACATATATTATATGTGCTTATTTATATTTATTTACTTAATTGTACTTTATTCAATTAATTTTATTAAAGCTAAAAACAAAACACGTTATGTCCCCACGTTAGCTTGCACCTTTTAAATTTATTATATAACAGAGTATTTCAATTATATTTGACATGTCGATTAAAAACACCCATACGTTTGAAGCATGATGTTTGTCTTTGTTGTGTGCTTAACCTTTTAGTTTTTTTACTATTCACTTCTATAAAAGATTGTTCTGTGTGAGTATCGTTGATTTTTGACACACAAGATTTTTTGGTCTAGACTAAAAAGAAGTTACCTAACAACACCAATAAACACAACTATCCAACGCTAATGTACAACAATAAACAGACTTAAACAAATTACAGAAAGCACAATCTTTCAAAGAAATTTCAAGACACCAAATGAACCGAATATGAACAATTACTTTTAAAATATAGTTAATAGGTACGTTATCACCAATAAACGCTTATATACACCACTATTTAACTTTGAAAACACTCACACATAGGAATAGAAAAACAAGTACAAAAAATATATTATCGCAACAACTGACAAAACTCATCACAATATCAAAAGTGAGGCAAACAATAAACCAACTGAAAAACAAAGATCCTGGACAGGATATAATACAAAGCATATTTCTCGAAAAAGGGCCTTTGAGACTGTTAATGCCCGTATAGCGTTATTCGATATTTCACTTAAATCAGGCTACATATATTTGCCGCTTTCAAACAGGAAGGAAAATAATCGAGAAATCCAGAAAACTACAGATCTATTAGCTTGACCAGCCGTCTAGGTAAAGTTTTAGAAAAAAATATATACAGAAAACTATTGGCTTATCTTGAAAATACCAACAAATTACCCGAGATCCAAAACGCTTTCTGCAATTCAAGACAAACAACAAATCAGTTTCTATTGGCTTATCTTGAAAATACCAACAAATTACCAGAGATCCAAAACGCATTCCGCAAATCAAGATAAACAACAGACCACTTAATTCGGTATACAAAAGAAACAACTCATAGCTTCAACAAAAAGAATGTACTGTCGCATGATTTCTCGACGTCGAGAAGGCATTTGACAGTTTCTGGCACAAAGATTTAAATTACCAAAATGGGAACCCCGAGCGGAATTATTCGCTGGTTATCCAACTTTTTTGAAGAATAGCAATGTCAGAATAAACTTCGGAGGCACATACTCGGAGTATGTTACTCCAGAAGCAGGTGTACTGCAGGGAGGGGTAGTCAGCCTTACGCTGATTGTCACGTATGTCAGTGACACGCTTTTCAAAAAACCAAATTTTTGCTTCTGGCCATAATTTGCAAATGATATTGCTATCTGGAAGAGCTCCCCAAATTAAACAATGGCAACTTACAAACTACGACCTTTTTTCAACGAAATAGAAAAATACTAAAACAAATGGAAAATTTAATTCAATACACACAAAATGCAAGTAACATTATTTATCAAATCAATTGAAATAAGTAGAATCAGTGGAAAACAGAATAACGTTACTGTTATGTATTAAGTAAAGGGTTTATATTACTATGTCTTATTGTTCTCGTATCATGTGATACCTGCACTGTAAATATTAATAAATCTTTTTTAAAAGTCATTTATTATGTAGTCCAAATTGTTATTTGCTCAGCAGTATTTTTAGTACTAGTCATTTATGGAAAGGATATAACAAGACTATCATGAGCTTGACTGCCAGTGAACAAATTTGAAAATGACTGTGAAGGTTTCTAAAAATCACAAATTGTTATAACAGCACAGGCGACAGAAAAACAATAAAATTAAACAGGATAACAATCAACGTTCTAAATTTGCTTATTTGATGAGAAGCACAAAGCTACGAAATTATATTAAGCAATACAGGATTCGTATATAGTTTCAAAGACAAATAACGCAGGTATTTAATGTGACAGAAATGACGTCAAGTGACAGGATATAAGTAAAGGTCAAGTCTGATCAAGAGTTCGAGCAGTGAATAGACCTTGACAAATATGGCTGATGTTGCTAGGGCCATTATCACAGTTTAGTAAAAGATCGTTTGCTCTGATGATTTCTATAGTTTCTAAACAGTCTCTTTCTTTTTAGTTTTGGGTTGATGTAAGAGAAGAATTTTATTCCAAAGTACTTTGTGACCTGTTTCATATTAATTACATGTGAAGGCAGATATCTGAAATTCACCTCTACATATGTGACCTTCGTGTTATTTGCGTCTTATTTCTAAGGAACGTGACGTTTGTCATATGTATTTCTTTCTGAAGAAGACAGACCATAGTTGTGTCGAAACACGTAGTATTTAAATTTGATGACGAGGAACCCACTTTACATAAAATATTTTTTTCCCAACCGTATATATATATATTCATGTGTCTCTGTAAACTTCTTGTATCTGGTAATGAGATAATCCTGTCCAAGCATTGTGCACTTGTAATAAAGTTTTCTTCATTACACATTCCAGCCGTCTCCAAACATTTAAACATGTAATATGTTCCACAAACATGTAGTATGTTCCACAATGCTTTATTATGCTTATAAATCGTTGTTTGCCTACCTCTTATCATCGGATACTTCGTTTATCTCGTATATTCCATATTAAGTTTAATAGATGCAAAAGACTCTGTGGAATATTCTTCTCCAGAAATTAGCGCTATTTTGTTTTAAATGTTAATTTAATGGTAAAATTAACGTGTTTAACACTGGTACCTAGAATAAGAATCGAGAGAGTACCCAAATGTTTCATTAATATTTAATCAGCAAAACATAAGGACAACAAGAAATCATTTGACCCTTCAAGGCTGTCCTTGAGAAAAGTAAAAATAAGTTAGAGAAACAAGAAATTGAAATAAATCTAAGTTAATTTTTTTTTCTAAATAAGTTTATTTATTTGTTTTAGCGCAAACTATTCAGTGAGCTATCACCGTTCTTTCCATTAAATGTTAACGTTGCAAGTCCATAAACTGACCAACTGGGAATCTTCTAGAGAAGTAAAAATGATAATGAGTATATATATAGTCTGTTTCGCACTATTAGCAGTGGTTAATGTGAAGGTAGAGCCAGGGGGGATCTCCCCCAACTAAGAACATCGCTAAGAAGAGTTCCCTTAGCTATATGGAACAAAGGGTCAAGGGAAACTGAAACAATATTGCGACTAATTATTCACAATTAAGTGGCTCTGGTACTGGTGGGTGTGGTGAACCTTTCCATTTTGTCAGGTAAAGCCGTCCAAGGTCTGGTTGCCGTCAGAACTTATGGTGACTTTTTTTCTCCTATATACTTAATGAAACGTTGTTTGTTTGGTTGGTTTGAATTTCGCGCAAAGCTACACGAAGGATATCTGCACTAGTTGTCTCTAATTTAGCAGTGGAAGACCAGAGGGAAGGCAGTTAGTCATTACCACCCACCGCCAACTCTTGGGATACTCTTTTACCAACGTATAGTGGGATTGACAGTTACATTACAACGCCCCCACGGCTGAAAAGGACGGGGATTCAAACCTGCGATCCTCAGATTGCGAATCAAGCGCCCTAACCACCTGACCATGCTGGGACATAAAAAATTGTACTGGACAATTGACTTTTTCAAGTATTCGAAGAGTATGACCAAGTGCGTTAGGTTTTGGTTCGAATTTCGTGCAAAGCTACACAAGGGCTATCTGCGCTAGCAGTCCCTAATTTAGCAGTGTAAGACTAGAGGAAAGGCAGCTAGTCACTACCACCCACCGCCAACTCTTGGGCTACTCTTTTACCAACGAATAGTGGGATTGACCGTCACCTTATAACGCCTCCACGGCTGAAAGGGCAAGCATGTTTGGTGTGACGGAGATTCGAACCCGCAGATTGTGAGTCGAGCGCCCTAACCACCTGGCCATGAATTCGTTAGGCGTTGCCCCTTCTCCCCCTAGCTCTAGATTTCCACATTAATCACATTATATAGTATATATATATATATATATATATATATATATACTATACACTTTTATCACTCACATACTGTAAAATACATATATTTTAGTCAGTTATAAAACATTATTACTTATACATAACACAGTCGTAAAATATAAGTATCAGGGTTGGCTTACAAACTTGTTTTTACTAGCATACAAACATAAGCCTGTTTTTCACTGATATATTTATTTATTATCATTAAAGAAAAGAACTTACTGCCTTTTTATGGGTTTACAGTGTGAAAATGTAACTTTTTTACTGACTGTCCATAAATTTACTGATGGTTGGCAACCCTGGGATATTTACATTATAATATTCATTTACTTAATCTTTATATACAATATCTAAGATTTGTTTTCACTCATCAAACCATACACAGTATAAACTATATACAGATAAAACTATGAATGATTTACAAATAAAAATCTCAATAAGAGTAAGGGGTATTTTAAAACAACTTATATCTCATAAGACATCTAACTTTAGTCTTCAAACATGAACTTTTTCTTTCAAGTTTTACAAAAATTCTTGTTTGTCCCCAAATACTTTTTTTGTGAAACATGATTTCATTAACAACATCTCAAAGATTTATATAAAAAATATGAATATATTTTTTTTTCCTTTACTTATTTCAGAGACTAAATTATAAAGCATCAAACAGATAATGTCTTAAAAACAATATCACACTCTTCAGTAATTATGAAATAATAATTCCTTCTCACAGGATAGTTTTGTTGTAAATTTTACACCCTTTGATAAGCACTAGGAGAAACCAGCAATAACCTCTGATTGGGCCTAATTACATGCAAGTTGTAAGCAGTTTGCAAAGCACCAAACAAATGTGTCAGGCCATCAAAATAAATGTAACTACAACTTTATGACATCATTGCACAAATGATGGTGAAACATATACCTAAACTAGTCTCACAAGGTTTTACTTATGAACCTGACCTCTTCTATGTAAAGCAAACTTTTGCTGGACCGGTTTGGAGTAACTGGGTATATTCTACTAGACTTTTACTTTCGCATGTCTACCTAGATTTGAGTGATTTACACTTGTGAAATCAAGTTGATAATTTCATAATACTAATTCATACAATAAAACTAATATAATAGTTACTAAATATAGCTTGTTTACAATGGTTCATATCCAACATCACATGCTTCTTACGTCACAACATCAACAACCCCAGCTCCCTGCCCCGAGCATATGGTGAGAACAAGATTATGTCACATGCGGTACCTGCTTCTACGTTTTCGTCATAATATGATGACTCATAACGTGGCACCAAGACAGTGTGCTTATTTCTTAATCGGCCGTAAGAAAACCCACAAACCTCGATCCATAAGTAATATATTTTTCACAACAAAGAATAGTCACGAACAAATGTTAGCAACAATCCGAGCTTTTTGCCTATTGTTGATTTAAATCAGTTCTAATCACTCCACATAATTTTAAACAGTCTTGTTATAAAGATTATATAAAATTATATCCCATACGCAATGTTACTCTTAAGATATCATCATCGTTCAAAAACCGGTCATGTAAACTGTAATACGCGTTTATCGGGAAATGTGTCAACTATGTGTGCAAACCTTGAACAACAAAAAAAACAAAACAAAAAAAACACTCTCTTAGAGCCAAAATCATTTCCTTTATAAGTACTTATGAATGAAAGTAAAGAAGAATGTATTATGTCATCTATACTATATCAGTGCCAATAAAGACTTTCGTCAAATAACAGGACTGAACAGGTCGGCTGAACATTTACTACATAAAGTACTGCCTACAATTTCAATGTCTATCTGCGTTTACCTTAACATAAGTTGTTCTACTCTAGTAGTATTGTTACATAAATTATAAGGTTTTCATAGATATTCAATTTTTCGGTTGAATTTGTTTTATGTATTCGAAGAAACTATTTTTCGAAGTAAGAAAAATATATTCTAGCTTCTGTATGCGTTTCTTAACCTAAAATTAAATTAACATAGGATTAAAAACGCTGGTAAATCACAAAAATTAATCAGTAAAACTGAAATAAGGTTATGTGGTGTTTAAGAGGCATCAGCTTTCTCTCTGGTGTGTCTATTCACATAAAAATACGACTACTCGTTTGATAATTGAAATGATATAATAAGCAATAGCAACGTTTACAAGAAGTGATATTCGTGTTTAAAACAACCCGACAAAATGACGGTTATACACGAACCACACAGATTTCCATAGAGATATTTAGATACTTCGAAAACGTTTGACTTTCGTAATACTATCATGTATAAAAACAGAAATCGGGGCAAAAACTACACGATATCATTCTCAAACTACTGCAAGTCAAAACAGTAACCGTCATCTGCTAATGCAGTGTACCACATTACCGTGCGTGGTATTTAACCATTCTTCGACAGCCTAAGCTACTAACTAAACACTAACACGTGTCATGCACACGCAAAATTTTGAGCTCCAAGTATTCACCTAACCGGGAAAACTTGTAAAACCATATTTGTACCTAACATCAAGAATGAATCGGTCGTTGCGCAAATAAATGGAGTTTTTGTGCCTATATATATATATATATATATATAATTTCCGTAGATAACTTAAGCGACCCAGTCAACTTTTATTTTAAGTTTCTAAGTTTATTCATAGCGCATGGTAACCTGATATGCATGAAAAGGTGTATACGCTTCACACTTTAAAAAACAAATATAACTAAGTCAACGCCCTGATAATCCCTACATTTAGCTTTAATGCACTCTTCTGAGGAAGCACCAACTTAAATAACAAACAAAACCAACACAGAATATCTAATCACAATATTTTACCAAAGCACCAGCTACTTCTTTCTGCTAACAGGATATTATTACAATTAAATAAACTTTTAAAGAATGAGAATTCAGATTCTAAAGTACATATTGCTAAATTCATAGAAATGAATACATATCAATAAGTACAGAATACTTTAAAAGCTGATAAAACATTCACCAAATGGTACTGTTCAATACAAATATGACATTGTAATAGTTTATATATATTCATTACTAAGCTTCAGTTATTAGACACTACTAGTATAACTTTTTATATTAAGTTTCATAGCACCTGGAAACATGATATGCATGACAAGGTATATAAGCCTTACAGTTTAAAAAAAGAATATAGTTAACAGCTCTAACTATGGTTATCCCAGTTTGTTATCACACCAACTTCATTTTCAAATCTGGAAGCAAGTACCCTTAAAAGTACTTGAAATTTGATTCATTCACTATTAATTCAACTAAAGTTTGGGGATATAATGCAAAAGGTTTCTAGATAAAGTTATTATCACAACCCAGGTTGAATGAAACTATAGCCTGCCAGGCATGTTCATCATAGTGACTGTGATTAATAATACATTTTATCTTGTGTATTTCTCTAAACGTTTATAAAGTTACAACAATGTTAATACCACACTTTCACAATCATATTTTGTGGGAAAAAAACACACCCAGAAACAAACATATCGAAAATATTTTCAACTCTGAAACAGTGTCCTATGTTTCTTAAAGCTCATACTAAACAAAGATGGAGCTAAAAGTATTTGTAACAAAACTCTTTCTTTGTTACCTCAACGGTAAAAAAAAACTACTTTTACAATACTTCAGTTGAGAGGTAGCATAAAGCTCACACTGATTTAAATACTTAATAAGGATCAATATGAAACATTTTTCAGATCAGCAGAATGTCTTTCCTCTTGAACCAGTTTTCTGCACAATAAACCAAAAGTGTTAGATCTATCATAAAAGATAAGATAATTTTCAGGAAATAACCAAAAAGTTGGAGAAATACTGATTTGACAATTGTTTTGTATGTTTAATGTTATTTGTTTCTAATGTTTCCTTTGGACTGATAATATTCCAGCCCCACAGGTGGTTTTAGGAAAAGCATGTGATGAGTATAATTGGAAATTTCAAACAAAAGAAAACTTCAAATATTTTTGTTTTTATTGATAAGATAACCTGAGTATGATACTATAATTCAACAAGTAAAGAAAGGAAATACTTAAGCTTGTTTGCAAATTTTATCAACACCAAAATAGTGAATAAAGATGAGCATTAATGTCCTTACATTTATTTAAAGAAATCATTAGAAGTAAATTAAAATTGTATCAAACACTTACTTTATCTATAACAGGTCTTATTTGAAACAACTTCATCTATTTCTCAGCTTCTGGTTAAGTCTAAGATCTGACTCTTACTTATATTTCTCACTACATCACAAATATTCCCCTTTGTATTTGAATTACTTTTGGTTGACTACTGCATTTTTATTTTGATAATCATAACTGCAAATTTTAAAGCAACAAAAATTGTACATTTCTGGATTTTTTTATATTTATATTTTATGCTTCAGATCTGAAACGTTGTAAAAGCATATTGCTGGCTTCTACTCTGTGATTTTACTACTTTTCAATTTTCTTACTGCTTTGCTTTTTTTTTTCCCCACCTTAAGGTAGGGGTACTAATTCAACACGTTAATTCATCCATGTTCACATTCTTTTAGTAAAGATTAATTATATAGAGGAATTACAGTGTTTTGGTGAAAGTTTTTGATGCAGAAGCCTCATACATGAAACCCATGAAAAAAGTAAACATTTTTACATATTTACATTTAATTTTAAAATATCAGTATACCATCTAAAATTTTTCAGAACTATTAATCTTAGGAATTTAAAGGGCATACATGTACGTCTTAGTAGTATTACAACTGTTCGTTAAGTGGTCAAAGCAGTTTTATTCTAGAGATGTATTTAGTAGTTTTGCTTATTAAGGTTAACTGGAAAAGTTAAATTTTTGAGATTTATGGCAGCATAACAAATACCTATGTACTATAAATGACAAAAAAAAAATTAAGCAGAGTCAATAGCATCACAGAGCAAAATAGCCATACTGCTGTGTCATACAATTCACAACTATCAAAAATTTAACAATTATTTTCAATCCTTATGAAAACTCATTTACATCAATATATCAACAGTGCATTTTAGTGAAATCATGTGCTGGTCCATTAGGTTTTAAGAGTTCACAAACACTTAAGATGTACTTTTAAAGATATCTCTGTAACTTCATATTATTCCTGTAAACATAACTTAGAATTAAATCTCCAACAAAAAAGGTTTGCAAACTCAAAGTATTTGCTTAACTGAAAACTTAGTGGTCAAAAAAATTCTAAGTACCACAGGTAACTAGTTCCACTCTTCTTATAATATTTCAACTTTAGCTTTTTAATAGTTGCTTTACTCTTTATTTATTTCATTGTGCTTTATAATAAATTTGACACAACTAGTCTAATTTCATAAGGTTCTCAGAAAGGTTTGCTTTTATGCCAGCCTTATACTTACCATCAGTTCTCTGGATGTCTACGTTTATACCAATTTTTAAACCTCCTAAATCAGAGTTCATGTTGTGTTAACTTTTTCCAAGTAATGCAACAAGACCTATAGATGATAATAAAAACTAGAATCAAAAACAAGGTAGTTTCTGTAATTTTATTTCTTGTTAATTAAAAACTACACCAAAAACTTATAACAGAGTATATTCATTGTAACTACTTATGAATGATGTACAGTCTTTACGCCTCTGGTCAATTCTTCTGCTGACTTTTCCCATTACAATTCTAAATCTGAAATTGGGCTTAACATGTCTCATAGAAAGCATGTCCATGTGCTGTAGCAACTTATATTTTACAGATTATACAGTATACTATATCGTATGGCATATAAACATATATGCACAATTCAAATGTAAAGTACTGTTACTAGAATAATAAATTCATCTGGCTATAAGTATAATACCTAAAGACCAAGGGCTTTTTCAAGTTAACTATTGCATTCTTCATAAAAACAATTAAAAGACTAATTCTAAAACTTCTTTCTTATCCTGAACTACAGTTCTAAAGTACTACAAACAGACTTGGATGTTAGTTTGCAGACACATAGTTTAGAACAGTGTCTCCCAGTGTGGGTTGCAGGTTTGAACTGTGGTCTCAATCACTCCATAATATATTCTATTCTTCTGTAAAATCTAAAACCACACTTGGAGAAATTATGTTTGCTAAAACAAGCACAAAGCTTGCATTAAAGATGTTGTCAGTTTCCCTTCCACATCTTTCTGCTGATATACTGGGATTTTTATATTAGTAATTCAGTGTATTGTTGTACCTCTAACCATTTCACTAATAATAATAAAGCATTATTATTATTATAACTGCAATTTCTCAGAATGTTTTTAATGTAACCATGAAAGTGGTATTTCTATGCAAAGGGTTGTGCCACCAAAATGTTTTGGAACCACTGGTTTAGATTATTATTATATAATATTAATATGTTGGTACTGTACATCCAATAGTACTACTACTAGTAACATTGACACTGTGACAGTACTATTAGTAATACTACCACTAACTGTATCACTATCATTAGAACACTAACAGTAGCAGTAACAAAAGGAATTAAGTAATGTATTATTACAAATATTCATAACAGAAGCAACACTAATACTTTTAATTTTATAGTAACAATAACATTACATTGCAGTATTTATAACATGAACTTTAACTGAAGTTTAACTACATCATCCATGAGCCAGGTATTGAGATAGTGAAGTTAGACTGTACCGTACTGTCTGAAGTGTAGTGTAGGTTCCTATTTTACAAAACAAAATTAGTGCTTAATTAGTATATCCTAAATTACCTAATTTCAGGTTCCCAATCCTCTTCAGGTTAATAGTTCTTATGTGGTAACATTAAGTTAAAAAAATTATTTTATTTACTACTATAAGTACTAACAAAAAACGTTAGATTACGTAGCACCAACATCATACACTGCAACATTCATCTCCTACAATAACTTGAATAAGCCTTCTGCTTTCAAATTTCATCAATTCCAGCATTCTGATATACCGGGAGAAACTAAGTTGTAATTCTAATTGTAGCTTTACACACCACAACTGGATTTTTACCTAATGCATGATAATCACTCATCTAACGTAAAATCATTAATTACGTTATCATTGTAATTTTTTTAATAATTATAAATACTTGAAATATAAATATACGAAGTGCTCGTAAATATTTTACAATAGAAACAGTTTATCATTTATTCTTTCCTGGACAACAAAATTATTTGGTAAACATTTTCTAAATAACATTTTTAACAAAACGTAGAATATCAGATAGCATGATTATTTCATTAGATTTTTTATATATTTTCAACTTTATTTGATTATTATTATCTTCAAAAATAAAGGAAGTATAACAAGAAATGCATTCCAAAAGTTATTTTTATCGTGCGTTTGTTTGGTTGACTTAGGCGCAAAGTAGCAGAATTAACTATCTATGCTATAACTACGCATAGATCAAATCTCGAATTTTCATGTTTTAAGCCCTAAAACTTAACGTTGGACCACTAAAGAAGTGGGCGTGCGTACATTTGTATATGATTGTTTCATTCTTTCAGTGACTTTATATCGGTGAGCTGATAAAGTAATTAATCAAGTCAATTATTACTCACAGTTTAAGCAAACATTTTTTTAAAGAATTAAAAGCCAGAGACAAAAGCTTATTGAAGTGATGAAGTAATTAAGATTCTACTCAACAATCCCCATTCTCCAGCATTTGACCCTTACCTATGTATTGGACAATAACCCTCCAAAACATTTAAAATTGCAGGGAACCATTTCAAAACATATCTTATTATGTGGTTATTTATCTTATCAGTGGTTATTCATAGAAGGTAATGTAAGACATACCAGTGGGCATAACAAGCCTTCAAACACAGGTGTGTGAGGGGACTGCTGTTAGACGGCACAAGAAATAATCAATCTGAGATAAGTTGCAGTACAATAGTTTTAGTTTCGCTGAATTTCACCTGCGTTTATTTTTATTGTTCTTCTGTATTTCAGAGGATGGCATGATAGTTGGTCGTACGGCTACGGGTATTGATATCTGGCTATAACAATAAATTATTTTTTTTTCTACTATACTTTTGGATAACTGGTTAATGTGGCTTATCTGGCTTGAATTATTTGAAACATTATATTAAACGATTTCTCTGACAGGGAGGAGATGATTTTATTCTCAGTATATGTAAATTTTCTATCTGAGCACATATCTCATTGATAATTCATCTTTTAGAAATATATTATTTTTTGTTGTTGTTTGTTTTCATCTGGGCTGGGAGTCACTTGCTGAGAAGGAGAAGTTTCCTAGATTTATTCTTACGTGTTTGAAACTGTGGTTTATGAAATCAGTGCTATGGAAGAACTCCATAAAGGAGATGCGATGTGAGCTAATGTTTGTGTTTCAAGGTCCTATGCAGCTCTCAGAAATATAATTTTTATTTTATTTAATAACACTTTTCTTCACGTTTTTTCTTTGTGTGGTAATAGTAGAAAGTTAAATTTGAAACTAATGGTTAACAAACAAAGAATATTGTTACGTTTCCGTTTGTTAATTGATTTTTCCGTAACTTCGTTCCGACAAAATTTTAAAGACACAAGTCTT